AGGCAGCAAGCCCCCGCTCAAGGTGTCGACGGAGGGCGCTGCCTCCAAGTCTGCCAGCTTCAGCTGGCCTGGTACCAGGGTGTTCTCGAGCAGGGGCTTGAGGAAGACGGGGTCCTGGAGTTGCCCCTCTGTCAGGAGGCCAGATCCAAGGGCGGAAGCGAATGCCGCATTGGTGGGTGCCAGGACTGAGAAGGCGGAAGACGTGTATGTGGGGTGTGAACATGGTGAGATGAGGTAGTCCAACGGCGTGGGATCTCTTGCTGTCCACAACCTCAGGAAGGGCAACACGTCTGGAGGGCTGCATGGGGGAGAGCCCATCACCCCATGCACATGAGCAGGCTCCGTTCTCCGGAATATGTAAGCCCTTTCGTGGAGCAATCCCAACATCACGTCACCGAAAGCCTACCGGTGACGCTGGACCCCGGGATGTTACCCAAGCCTGCTGTGCGCAGCGCAGCAATGTAGCTGGTCAGCTGGGGACTGGAGGTGAGGAGCAGGCCAATGGTGGGGAGAACCGCCTCATCTGCAGGGCAGGCTCGATACGCCGCGCCTGGCAGGCTTGCAGACTCCGATGTCGTCACAGCCGTGCACGAAGCAGGGTCCTGAGCGTGGAGGTTGAGGAGATTCGATTTGTCATGAAAGGTTGGGCACATGCCATGGACAGATGCCCGCAGATTGTGTTTGTGTGCGCTGGTGCGTGCTCGATGTGTCTCCCGACATGATCGGACATTCCATTGGTCTGTCGCCACGCGGCGATAACTGCAAAACACCAATGCCTTCCACAAGACCCCTTCTCTCACCTCCACGTAACATGTAAAGGCGTTAGATCCAGCCACAATGTCCCACTGGCCACATCCGATCCGGGAGGTATTCACGCTGCCGCTGAAGCCGTCGGTGGTACAGGCACATGCGTCGCCCCCGTCCGTCGCGGGCGCGATGGCCGTGCCGGGCTCCGTCACGGGCTCCACAGACGGTGAGGATCTGGAGACTGGTGCCGGGGTTCCTTGGGGTGTCAGGAACGGATTGTCTTGCAGCAGGCTGCGTCTAGCACTTGCGGCCTGGCAGCCGAGCGCCAGCAGGCAGATCGCGAGGGTGTAGGCCCGCATTGGAAATGTAATGACTTCTTGCGTTGTTCATTGGCATGTCAAGGTTTGAGTCCTGCTGACAAAGGTGGTCTGGGATGCATCATTCGACGTGTTTGGGAGGGCGCGTTGCGTCATGCTTTCCTCCCGGTGATGGTGGTATGTCGCATCTGCGAACGTGCAGGCAACCAAGCAGACCGGGTTCCTTGAGATGGAAGAAAGTGCAATTCAGCCTCATAGTGTAGGGTCAAAGGGAGCAGTATCAGGCCATGGCACTGTATATGCTGATCCGCTGCAAGTCTGGATGTGTCGTGCATGAGTCAAGGGGCAAAGGGGTTTATTCCAGGGCGGTGCCGGACAGGCTCAGCCCCTGCCCTGAACACGTCCAGATACCCATGACACATTGCCGCCCGACTGCCAGATGGACAGTCCATTCACATCGTACTGGATGCCCTTCAGGATGCACAGCCGGTGGGGATAGTCCTGGCCATTGCTGGTGCACCTGGGGGCCAGGATAGGGTCGCATGAGCTCGTGTCCAGTGTGGTAAAGGGTTTCAAACAATGAGCTTCAAGAAGTACACGCCCGTGCATGCCGGCCCCTCCCCTCGCTCAGCCCAGCTGCATGTCTTTTTGGTCCTGACTTGATATTGCTGGACCCATCACACCCTGCTGCCCCTCAGCATGGAGGTCATCCTCAAAACCCCTGGCATCCTCATGGCCCTGCTTCCCGCACAATCCGAATATCTCGCCCCGCTTTCCTCACCCCGACACGCTTGGGCAGTAGGTGAACACAGCGCACTGCGCCAGGGCCTGGCAGGCGGCGCAGCACCCCGCGATCTCGTCGGACGTGCTGGTCGCCACCACCGGCGCGCGGAGCTCCACGTTGGCCAGCACCTGGCATTGGTCTGGTGAGAGTGGAAAGCGGGGAAGGGGCAGAACTAGAGTGATCCTTACGCCGGAGGAGGGGACCGCGGCAGGGTTGAGCGCAGGAATGGCCAGGCGGTGCGCTGCCTAGGAGCTGAGGGGGCTGAACTGGTGGCGGACACACCCAGGTGTGGTGTACTCCCTCCCGGCGACAAAGCAGGGAAGGACGCCAGATCCAGCAAAGAGGAAGAATCCACACTCCTTGCCTTTTGGCATGGCAGCGCACCCACGACCCCCAAACCATCCCTGCTGCCAGCACCCAGCCCCCGCCTCACCAGCCCAGTTGGTGGCCAGCAGCGCGTTGGCGCTCACTTGGGTGACAGGGAGCGGGGCGTATGTATCTGGGTCCGGCTGGCACTCGGGGCAGCCCACGTCCGTCGGGAGGACACTGCAGATAGAACGGTGCTTGAGGTGAAGGGGTTTGGCCAGAAAGAAGCTGAGCGGGCGGGACGGCCTTGCAGGCACTAGGGGGCCTCCCAAAACCCCAGAGCGACCAGGAGTCATGTGTCAAAGTGCACAGCCTCACCTGGATCCGCCAAAGACAACAGGAGGGCTTGGTGGGGCAGGCACCTCCTCTGGGGTCGGAATCTCGACTCCCGCTGGCGGAATGGGGCCCGGCAGCGGCGATGTGACCCCTTTGGGACTGGGCGCAGGTGTCTTCCTGGAGGCATCAGCAGAGGGAGGCAGGGACGGATTGGGTTCTTGGCTCGGTGAGCTCGGGGTCATCTCAGCAATAGGTGCGACTGCAGGTGAAACTGCTTCCTGAGGGCGCAGCGGAGCCAGCTCTGGGGCAGGTGCGGAGCTTGGCTGAGAGCCCGGTTCCAAGGCTGGCTGAGGGGTTGGGTTCAAAACAGGCGCCAGGAGAGGCTGTGTTGATGCAGGGACCAGCTCTGGGACTGGCTCCAGGACAGGCGTGGGAAGAGGCTCTGGAGAAGGCTCAGGAACTGGCTCCAAGAGTGGCTCTGAGACAGGCTCTGGAGAGGGCTCAGGA